AGAAGGTAAAGCAGTATGAGCTAGAGTTTCTTGAGGAACTTCTAAAGCCACCAAGTCAGGGAGAGCTGCCGGGCACTGAATACCTCCAACCTCCAGCACCAGGCCGCTGCAGCTGCCAGCTACGCAGCAGCCCTGTGCAGCAGGGGCCTGGCATGTCTCGTGAGCAGAGACGCAGCTGTGATTGCAAGCGCATCTGCCGGGGTGGTCGGCCACAGGCACCCCAGACACCAGTGCCCAGCCTCCGAGGAAAGGAGAAGGACAAGGTCCTGACTACCCAGAGGCAGCCAGAGGCTGGCCCAGATTTGAGCCTCAGCAGTCCCACCAATGTCCAGCGCATCCGCTCCACCAGCTTGGAATCCCGAGAGTGCCGATCAGACCCTGAGAGTGGTATTTCATGCCTGAGCACGTGTGCCTCGGGGGGCGAGTGTCTGGGAGCTCCCAACTACAGGAAACTTATGCGCCGCTATAGTATCAGTGAGCTGGACCAGGATGACAGGGCCTCACTGACCTCGGATGTCTATCCACAGCTACCCCTGGGCATGCTGCCCAGGGAGGCCAAGGAGGTAGAGGCAGGCCTCCCCCCAGGCCTGGGTCCCAAAAGCAAGTCTCTGGAGTCACCAACTCTGGGAGACCCATCATATGTCCAAGTTGCCCCTGAGACCAAAGGCTCCAGACAGATGGCTGTGTTCTCACTGCCAGAAGAGGTGTACCGGAAGCCCACCGAGTTTGATGACGACAGCGAAAGCAGCAAGTGCTGCTCCATCCGCTACTGCTTCTACTACCGCAAGTGCGACGTGGCAGATGATGCCAGTGATGGCAAGGATGAACTCTCCTACTCCATCCCCATGAAGATCCTGCCTGGCATGAAGCTGGATGAGAAGGTGGTGCCCGTAGTAAGCAGGACCCTGCAGGTGCTGGATGCCGCCACCTGCAGCAACAGCAGCCCTGAGGCTTCCTGCACCCAGGAGATTGACCTGCGGGTGTCCACCTTTGAGGGGAGCCTGGCCAAGATCAATGCCCTGCGGGCCCATGCCTATGGCCTACCTGACGGCTTCCTGGCTGCGCGGCTGGACACCAATGAGCTACTGACAGTCCTGCGGCAGTGTGTGGCCAGCCCTGAGGCCCGCGCTCCCAAGCCCTATGTTTCCCAGATCTCTGAGTACAAGCTCGAGCTGGCTGTCAAGTTCAAGGAGCTCCGGGCTTCCTGCCGCCGCGTAGCCAATGTGGACAAGAGCCCGACTCACATGCTGGCAGCCATCACGGGCAGCTTCCAGGTGCTGAGCAGTCTCATTGAGACCTTTGTGCGGCTGGTGTTCATCGTGCGCTCTGAAGCACAGCGCCAAGAGCTGCTGGCCAAGGTAGAAGAGGTGGTGAGGAACTACACCTTCCTTCTGCGCGCTGCTGAGGAATCCACCGCCCGGAATCTCAACCAGCAGCAGCAGCAGCAGCAGGCAGCTGCAGCTATGAGGGTGGCCCCAGGGCACCCACCAGGATCTCCAACTTCGGCGACTGTTATGAGCACATTCACTCATTCCTTAAAAACCCTTATTAAGTAGGGCGTCTGCCCAAGCCTCCCCTGTTCCTTAACCTCGGCCCCAAGTTTGAGCTTTGTGGTCATGCATCCTGTGGTGAGCGTATGTGTCTGCTGGACCAGCTGGGGTCCAAGAGCCTTCAATCTCCAGGGAGCAAAAAATCCCTGCATTGAGGTCTCCAAGCTGCTGCTGCCCTGGGTATCCTCACCCCTTCTCTAGCCTCTAGGCGTCACTGTGAGGGCCAAGGCCCCTCGTCACTACGCCCGCCGAAGAGCTGTATTTTATCTCTTCACTAGGGCTGAGAGGTGACATCAGGCTCACTTCCCCTCCATTTTTGCCACAGGGAAGCCAGGGCCTAAAGCAGGCAAGCCAGATGGCCTTGAGCTCCTTCTGGCATCTACTCCCCTCCAGGGAGCAATGGCAGTAGCAGCAGACCACAGTGCCCAGTGGAGGGGAAAGGGTACTCTGTCCTGATATGCCCACCCACCCTGGGCTTACACTCACTTGCAGAAGCCACCCCATAGGGCCTGTGCCCAGGTGGTAGTCCTACAGAAAACAGCCACATGGGGCTGCTTGCAGCCAGTCCAACTGGCTGGCAGCCTTGGGAGCCCTTGCCCCCAGACCTAGTAGCTCCACACCAGCCATCCCCAAAGTGCCCTGTCCCTCACTGATGGGCAGGGTAGCTCAGTCCACTAGGGAGCAAGCATCTGGGATCACCCCACTGGTTCTGGTTAAGGTACCTGGTGAAAATGTCTGCTCTGGGGAGGCCCAGAGCAAGCCTTGGAGCCTGCCTGGCCCAGCATAGTGCAGTGGCTCTGGCTGCAGGCATGTGGCTCCTCTCTCAACATCTCTACCAGACAGACCGTCCTTAGGAGTTCGACTTAGCT